TATCTGCGTGTTGCCTGCCTTTTGTGCACCGGTTCAGATCACTTGTTGAATGCGCTTATGCAATCCTATTCCAGTTCAAATACAAATGCTAAACGTATCATAGACGATGTACCTTTTGGGTTCTTTCAGTCTTGTACTTTTAGGCATTTTAATTATGCAGCCCCCACATAATACTCATGCAGCAATGTACTCTTCAAAACTTGGCACAAACCATAGCTTTTGAACTGGGTAGGCTGAAAGCTTAATGATGTAGATATTCATTATACCATACTCCTATATACTAAAATAGTAAATTGTACTGTATGAAATCACACTTTGAAATTGAATCATCATACTGCGGATTAACCTGTTGTCTAGAATGGCTTTAAAACAACATACGTTTCTTATCTGATATTGCAGGGAGCTAGTTTTGATATAAAGCTTCCTAGAAGAAGCTTGCTTGTGAAGTTTACATGTACTAAATGTGATGCAAGGACAGAGCGTTTGATAAACAGGGTGGCCTATGAAAGAGGAACAGTTTTTCTTCAGGTAAATTGTTCAGAGTATTTATTTAATTGCATTGTACATCCAGCAGCTTTGCTTATATTAGTACTGACCTTATCTGCCTACCGCGCTCTTTTTTTTAATATTAAACAAGTCCATGTCTATTCTCATTTATTTTCTGAGATATGCTGTTCATTACTTTCTAACATGCACTGCACACACAGTGCGCTGGGTGCCAGGTGTATCACAAGTTTGTTGACAATCTTGGCCTAATTGTCGAGTATGACCTACGAGAAGAAAATGGGGTGAACACTTGTACTGAAGACTGATTTGGAATGTGTCATAGAAGCCAGGCATGCTAAGTTTCCTTTAAATATACTAGGTTTGAGTTTTGACTACATTGACTATTTGAACCTTGTAGACTGCTTATATTGAACAGTATTTGTGCATTGAAATAGCAGCTTACTCAGTTCATAACTTGGTTTGTATGCACTCAAATTGTATCACAATTCACGATACCAGATTACCTTATTGTTACCAAAATTGATATCGTTATAGAAAAACGATACATTGTTGCTGGAAGTTCCTGGCACTAATTGTATGATATTCGCATTGTATACACATTGCTCCTATCTTGCTGATCTTGATTGTCTGGAACATCACTTCTCTCTTGTTCTTCCTCTTTGGCCACCTGGTCCTCCTATCTTGCTGATCTTGATTGTCTGGAACATCACTTCTCTCTTGTTCTTCCTCTTTGGCCACCTGGTCCACATTTTCTGTTTTGCCAGCGCCATCTTTCTTTCCCTGGAGGAACTGGATAAGTAAGACCTTCGAGTGTGATGTCTGTCTCTTCATTCCTCATGAGCACCTCTGCTATCTCTGCTGGAGACCTCTTTGATCACTGATGTTTCCAAAAGCCCTTGGCTACCAGAATATGCTACTCCTGTTGAAATGCAGATGGAATTACATGATCAGATGGATTCATATGCAAGGGGAAGGGGAAAATGAATGCACAAGTAGACTACATACATACTTAAGGCAGGTCTATACTTGTTAAAGTTTCTTGGTCAGTGTAGGCGGCGCACACTCCGGCAGTGTTGCCACGGACCTATAATTTCCAGTTGATGAAAAGGAACCGAATCATTTACCAATTTCGATGGGCTTAACAAAGATAGTAAAACAGGGGGGCTCTTTCCAGCGAAGCAAGTGTGCACCAGTCCTTTTTAGTACAGGAAATCATGGTAAGACTCTTTGCAGTTCATGTATAAACCCAAAACAATATAATGATCCATTCCTAAAACTCTTTGCAGTTCATGTGTAAACCCAAAACAATGTAATGATACATTCATAAAACTCTTTGCAGTTCATGTATAAATCTAACTTGAAGGAGTATTGTAGCTTTTTCGTAAATACTTATCTATAGTAGCCCCAAAATGTTTAACTGATGCATCCCTGAACCATGTTGCCAACTATGACCTGAAAGGAACTAAAACCTGAAGAATAAGAACGGTACCATCATGCAAGCTCAAATGTGATCATACCTAATTGTTGCAAAGCTTGAAGTAGGCACCAATTCGGTGCTGAATTGTTGCATTGTCTACAAGTAAGGATATCACCGCATCCGGTGCTGAAACCATCCTAGCTAGTTCATGAGCACGGTGTGCTCAAGCCTTAATAAAAGGTAGGAATTTAATTACTGACGATGTGGACGAGCGACTCTCTCCTGGATCGATCAGTGGCACGCTGCAACTGTGAAAGCCAGGACTTTCAGTATCAACCATCGCACCCCTACAGGGGGGAATTTGACAATGTGTCATTAAGGAACTTAATGAAGTTGTTGTTCAAGGAGGCGAAGACAAAGGCAATGATCTCTCTCGTGGATGGCTGGACTGAGCGTCATGTTCTCCTCCATCTCCATGGGCTCTAAGTCTCATGTCTTCTTCCTCCTGGACTTGTACAAAATACGGTTAGCTGGAAATGAAAATATAACCACCGTGGAGGGATTCCATCGTGTTGAAAATAAAATAAAAAATGTGTTAGGAAAAGCAACAAAACTGAAAATAAATTATAAAGATGGACAGCGATATTTGGCAACAGTGTGCCCGATAAAAAATTTACCTTACCTGTCGATCACCCGCCAGCTAACCAGGCCAAACACCCCGCCAGCTAACCAGACCGACCACTCCGCCAGCTAACCAGGCCGATCACTGTACAAGGCCCAACAGAAAATGCCATCCCCCCACGACGCACTTTCCAGATCGCAACTTTCCCCCACCCCCCTTACCTTCCATGCAAGTATACCCTCTCTCACCCTCCCCACCAGCCACCCGCCCCTCCCCCCTACACAGCTGCTCAAAATCAACACCAAAGACCTACCCCTCCTCC